ATAAGGCATTTTTCTTTCTTATTAAGGCATTTACTTTATAATTACAAACCTTTTAGAAATCCTTTATCAATAGCATCCCTGTAGTTCCCTTGAGCATAATAAGCAAACCCTAAACGACTATAAGCCTTGCTGTAATTTGGATCAATTTCAATTGCTTTATAGCAATCATGAATTGCTTCTGTATGCTGGTTCGTTTGGGTGTAAGCTGCTGCCCTGGTTTTATATTTAAAAAAAAAAAAAAAAGTTTTTATAATCCCAAAAACTTAATATGTAAACTCCAATTATTATAGTAAAGTAAATAAATCACCTGTTGCAATAATAAACAGCATTATCATCACAAAGTGCTATAGCAATGGTGTAAAGCTCAATTGCACCAGAATACAACTTTGATTGCATAGCCTTGTTACCTATGCATAAATAAATAAATATCCAGTCAGCATTTATATATATATATGATTAAAAGTAATAGTGATAATAAGGTTTGAGTAAAACTTTACCTTGTAATTTGAAGGTATCAGCTAATTTTTTAAGATCAAATTCTTCAGATCCAGAATTTTTCATTTCCTTGTATCAAACAAGTGTCAGAAAATGAACATGATATTGAGATGAGAAAAAAGATTTGATTTTTTTTTTTAAGTTAATATATTATTATATACCGTTAAAGCATTATGAAACAAATGTGTAGCTCTATCGAGTGCTTGTTCATCATCTCCATTTGGTGTAGTCCCAAAATAATGAACCTTTTCAAGTGAGCTAAAGAATTGACCAAAAAGTTCATCCTCACGTTCACGTACACCTAACAATAATGCAATATGAATTAAGTTATGGAGTAAGCCTATAAAAAGATCTACATAAAGATAAACGTAAAAAAAAATAGATGTTTTTTTTTCCCAAAAAAGAAATGAAATAGATGATGTTAAGCTAATGTTTGTTTCCTATGGTGATTGCTTATAGATACCTCATAGATATCAAGTACTTCCATAATATCATTCAATTTTACCCTAAATTATCATCTTGTATCACATAATTGCAGGTCTACATAAATGCAAAATATAAGGTATGCACATAACTCAAAAATATATATATTAAAAAATAAACAGAGGATTTACCTATGGTTCCAGTATCCCCTTTGTTGGTGTCATTCTACATAAGAAGTAAAGCATCAAAAAGGGAAAAAAAATGAATATCCATCACCACTTAATAATAGTTTTAAAGTATAAAGACATTAAAAAAAGATCATTAAAGCAGCATCAAAAGCATTTGGCAACCAAACACAAACTTATATATAATATTCCAAACTTATAATTAGTTCATAAGTTGTAACATGCTTATGTAACTCATACATTTTTTTTTATTTAACAATAGTGGTGGTGATAACATTAAAAACAATCAATACATAATCAACTAATTTAACAAGCAAATTTGTGATCATGAAAAAAGAATGAAGTTATAAACCAAAAAGATTCATCCTTTTATGGATCCCAACAGAACAGGCACATATAATGCATAACACTAGTGAAAGATCATAGGGAGAAGACAAAACATGAATACCAGAGATTGTGATGTCCCAGGAATTTTAGTATCCACATTATTATTTGTGCACGATGTATGGGATGTATCTGCTTGAGGTTCCTCATGGTTTTTATCTGACTTAATCTCATTCTTTCCTGTTTGTGATTTGAAAATCTCAATGAGAGAATCAGATTTTGGCAGACTAGAAGTAGAGGATGAATCAATCTTGAAGACCTCAGATAAGCAGTCCTTTGCAACCTCAAGACTTTCAGCATCACTATCGGAGGTAGGTTCAACTGTAAAACAGGTTTTGGTGGAACTGTCAATAAGAGCAAGAAGCCACACAAATGTTCAAGCATAAAAATGGCAGAATATATAAAATTTTGCGCAGGTCACCAATAATATCTCTGCGTGAAAAAATATGGAGTCGATGATCTCTTCCTTTGTAGGAGACCAAGCTCTTACAATTATGCGCACAATATCAAACTAATGTCATCTCAACAAGCATGTAAGCCTCAATTGATATAGAAACCCTAATTCCCCTAATGTCCAATGCTCTACAGTTATCATCAATCAACAGAAGATGGTAAACCTAATAACGATCTTTTATCTGAATGGCATCCCAACAGGGAAATTGAACTAAACGTCAAAAGGATATCAGTATTTAGCATCAGTATCTCCAGTTCTATCGAGAACGATTGAAATATATATACACCCGAAAAATGCATAAACATAAACACAGAAAGATACAATAGATAATCGCGTATAAGAAAATAGAGCCAGGGACAGGTAGAGCAAAGGAGCTAACCAGAATTGAGGAAATCGAGGAAAGATAGGACGATGCGACGAAGAAGAGGAGAATCCGGCTTCAAGTTCGTCATTGAAAATCGTCGCCTGTAGCAGTAAGGTGAAGAAGCAAACGAGTCGAATATTGAGAGTGTTTGGTTCCCTTGTGGAGATGTTCACGTTTGGGTCAGGAAAAACGTGATGTTCCACTTTGTATTATTGTTTACTTATGATCGAATCACCATCTAAAACCATAGTAATAGGTTTCATATTGTCTCATTTCCAAGATAAGAGAACATTCTTGAACACAAAAAATACAAAAGGAAATGTGAGAAAAAAGTGTCTAAAATTCTTTATTAAAAACTTATGGGTTAATTCAGGGGAAAATACCGTTAATAGACAAAAAAAAGGGGTCCAATTTCAAAATTTAGTCATAAAAAATGACTTTTCCACTTATAGACACGCATTCCGCGGAGGACCCTCTGCGGACTTCCGCGGATCGATTTTACCTCCGCGGAGAGGGGTATTTTTGTCATTTGCCCATCTTCTTTTTGACAAAATTGGACCCTCCTCTTTGGTCCCCCCACTGGTCCCCCGATTCCTCTTTCATTGGCGGAGCTTTATTAGGGCTAGGGGGGCTGTGGCCCCCCTGAATTTTTTGTTATAAATAGTCCTTTTAGTTTCATTTTATACATTTTAGGCCCAAAACTATAAAATTTTGGCTGTGGCCCCCCTGCTTACCAATTTTTATACATATTATATTCCCCCCCCCCAAATCAATCGTTGAAGCTCCGCCCCTGTCCTCTTTGACAAAGACGGTTCTCCGCATCGACCTACCACCATAGATTCCGGCGACACCGACAGCAACCCGGCGACCACGACAGCAAACGACGTCATTTTCCGACGTCCAAACCGGCGACCACGACTTCGATTACGAACTGTCATTCCGGCAGTAATGGAGGACAATCTCCCCAATATTTTGAGCGACGGTTTAGGCTCCCGGGTATTTCTCACATTCCTTTCTTTGGATTAATGTAGTATATGTATGAAATTTGTTGAAAACCGATTATATTACACTGAATAAATAGGCAAAATTAAAAAAATTTAGATAGGAAAAAATGGAGTTTGCCAGGTGGGTTCCGGAAATGGTGATGATCCATTCCGCGGAGGTGTATGTTACTCCGCGGAGGGTTATATCAGTCCGCATAGGACCCTCCGCGGAGTGAAGTATTTTCTCCACGAAATATAAAAGCGAGTCTCCGCGGAGGTTTTGGTCTATCCGCAGAGGCTTCTCCGCGGAATGACCTATAGCCTCCGCAGAATGACCTTAAACATAATTTCCTAATTTATTTTTTATGTCCTTTTATATTATATTAAATTAAATCTTATGTTTTGCAGCACTTAGATCTCAATCAAAAAGCGGATTTAACTTTAAAATGTATGGTGGGTACTATCATTAAAGACTATTTTCCGCGGCTAAAACAATCACAACGACAATTATTCAAAGCTTCGCCGTTTGGAATATTCTTAGGAATGCATATCCCACATGGTGATCCGTTACTTGTGCATTTGATGATGTTGCACGAAGTAAGGTCTCAAGAAGTATTTGAAATGGGGAGGTTTTTTTTGATATACAAGGGACGCATTTGGATTTTGGTGAAACGGAATATATTCTCATTTGTGGTTTAAAAGTTGGTCCTTATGTGGATTTACTCCACGATGAAAAAGCCCGGTCAAATTCAAGTCTTCGTGCTCGGTTATTCCTAGACATTTCTGATGCGCGTATGCGGTTGAAAGATTTGGAAGACTTCATTATGTCTCCAAAATATTTGGCAGTTCAAGATGAAGATGTTGTGATGCTTATCCAGCTTGTTTTTGTGTTGAAGGGACTCCACGGACGGGACGTTAAAACGTGCATTCCCGCTGCAATATACAAGCTTGCTGATAATAGAGATGATTGGAACATGTATTACATTTAAATATTGTGTAAAAATAGAATACAATAATAATAACTATAATATACAATATGAAAATTACAGGTTTGCATGGGGTACGTATTTTTGGAGGTATACTTCGCGGATGATGCGTGGAATGTTTAAGAAAATAGTAGAATTTAGACAATTCAAGGAGGCCAATCCCGAATCCAAGAAAATACACAAGTATACCGTTCCTGGTTTTATGCTGCCGTTTAAGGTTATTTTCTAATAAATTTAATTACTTATCATTGTTTTGTTTTTATACGATAATAACATTGAACTTCGGTTTGTAGTATAAAATATAATAGCATGATACTTAAATTTTCTTTCTATAGATCTGGATTTTGGAGACGTTCCCCGAGGCAACCAAATTTTATGTACGCATCCCGACAGAATTGCCGCGGATGAGGTCGTGGAGAAGTAAAACACCGTTATCTTGGGATAACTGTCGTCGAATAATCAACGTGCTTGTGGTATGCTTTTTATATTAAGGATTATTTATACTTACAAATTCCAACGTATTTTCATTTTAAACTAACAATTTGATTTTAATTTTTGTAGCCTAACAACGAACCTATTCCAGTCGTGGCAAACGGGACGGAGCTGATGTTGTCGTTTTATGTTCGCTACGTCAATTGGACTCTTAACCATGAAGAGTCTCCTCCACCGCAACATAGTCCGGTCCGAAATAGTCCACTTGTTGTTGCCTTGCCTCCTCGAAGAATTATGTACAAGTCAGATACATGTTCGACTGAATCTGCCACAAATGCTTCTTCCTCGCAACATCCTGAAATAGAAACAACTTATACGTCAAGCGACACATCAACGAGGGTCGTAAAGAAGAAGAAGAGTAGCACAAAGGCATTAGTGAAGCGTCTACTAGGTGTTGTGGCTGAGTTATCATCTAAAGTAGATCGTGTATTACATGAAAAAGATGAGCCAAACAAACGGTTTGTAGAGGAGGAGGAGGAGGAGATGATAAATGAAGAGGATGAAGAACCATATTACCATGATACACAGTTCGACTATGGTGGTTTGGAGGAGAAAGTTGTGCCTACACCTACGCATGGTGAGCCGTCACAAGACGTGGGTGAACATGACACAAAAATAGTGACTCCTATTGGTAGGCCGCAACGAAAGAGGGTTGTTGCATGGTATCAGCGGACTCCGTTCACAGTGGTAAAAAACTCATATTTTAAATTTGGTATATTTCTAAAATATTACATTATTGATAATGATTAAACATGTTGATTTTTTAGATGCAATCTACAGCAAAATTGAAGAAAATCAGCAAGACAAGGAAGAAAAAAATAGAGGAGGGTCCTAAAAAAACAAATGAGGACATTGTCAATGCAGAGAGTAGTGACGTTTCAAACCATCTCTTGTTGGACAGTATTTATACTAATAGTCCGATGAGTTTTTGGAAAGAATGGAGTGTGCTCTCTTCCAAACTCATCACTAAACATAGGCTGCATATTCTCCCACTAGATATGAATTTTTGGTCGAGGTTACTTTCTGTTACTGACAAAGGGTGGTTACTTTCTTCGGTAACATTCATTTAATTAAAATTTTAACTATTTTTTTAGACTAGAATTTATATAAATAATTCTAACATTTTTATCTTAAAATGTACAACATATTGCGATATGGAGTTCCTTGCTGATGGAAAGGCGGCCGACGAACGCTAGGTGGACGATATTTCCACAAGAAATCAATTTGGAACCCGGAAAATCATTATTTTTAAGGAATGTAGCAAATGGTTTTGGAGGTTGTCCTAAATGGAAGGATGTGAATATGGTTAGTTAACTTTAATAATTATTATTTTATAAATATAATATTACTGAAATTACGAGTATTTAACTTATATTATTTTTTGCAGGTTCTATTCGTAATAAATGTTATTAGTGCCCATTGGTTTATGGCGGCGCTACATTTAGATACCTGGAAAGTAGAAATTTATGATTCAGCACGAATTGCGGGTTACTTCTCAAAGTACTTAACTGGTGGATAATTCACAAGTTTTGGAGATAGTATTATCTCAGAGTTAGATGTCATTGAGTACTGGAACCATTTCCCCGTTGGACACAAAGACAAAGCAAAGCTGGAGTTTGTTGATGTTGTAGACGTGCCACAACAAGAATATAGTCTTGACAAAGGGGATTGTGGAGTATTTGTATGCATGTTTATGGAAATGATTGTTTCGGGGGTACCAGTGAAGATTTCTACGGCACGTAGAGATGCGGGATTTCTCTACAGAAATAAGATGGCAAATGTTATTTGGGATACTATATAGGCCTAACTATATAAGTTGATATTAGGAACTTTGTATATATATATTAATATTAAATACTTGTTTCTAGTATGTAATGTAATTTGTATATATATATATATATATATATATATATATATATATATATATATATATTAATATTAAATACTTGTTTCTAGTATGTAATGTAGTCACTTCTGCTAGTATGTAATCTGCTAATTATCTTTTATTTTTAAACATAATTCAGCAACAAATGTTACGAAATCATACAATCAAACACAATAAACATTACAAATAACATAAAAACATTACAAAAGAGTAGTCTATATGAAAAAGGTTTCTTACGACTAACAAACATTACATAAAACATTGGAAATAAAACAGTCGTCTACATGAAAAAAGGTTTATCTTTTACCAGATTCCAAACGTCCGTATACTCGAAATCAGTTCCATCAAACTCGCACAAGTAATACCCATTCACGTCTTGAAGAAGTTCTTCATCATTTGCTTGAGAGCGTCGCATTTTCTCATGATTGTAGCATCGATTGAACCATGTGACTTTAAAATTTAAATCCATCCATTTACTAACAATATCAGGTTTTAGTCGTTCTTGTCCTTGTCCGACCTTATAGTTGAACAAAGCTATTAGGCGGGACCATTCATCACCTACAAGGCAATGAGGGGGAGCCACTACTGGTAGACCCTCGTAAATGGTAATCCAACATTGTGTTAGGACCAACAACTCTGTTGTCGTCCATGGAGATGTACCATTTGTTGGAGAGGCTGCATTAGATGGATTTACTGCATTCAAAGAACTTGGTACATTGGACGCCATTTTGTAAATTGATCTCTATTATCAATTAAAGATTTGAATTTCCTATAGATACTACGTTTAATATATATAAAAAGTTTCTCTACGCGGACTGAGAAGTCAGTAACGCGGACTGACAAGTAAGTAACGCGGACTGACAAGTCAGTAACGCGGACTGACAACGTTTAATATATATAAAAAGTTTCTCTATGGACTGACAAACACTATTGCGGACAACGACTAGACAAACAACTCTGCGGACTGACAAACATTATTGCGGACTGACAATACAGTTCTGCGGACTGACAAACAACTCAGCGGACTGCAAACACCTCTCTGCGGAGTTGAAGGGACTATATATAGTCATGGATGGTCGTTGGATTTTTGGTATAGAGTTATAAATATTTTATAAATTTACAAATGAGTTCATCTTCAAGTTTGTATATTTGCTCGTGCAACGAAGTTGATTGTTTCTATTGTGATCCGATCGACCCTTTTCTTGCTCCATCACCAAATTTAAGAGACAGGTATATGTATGAGGATACTTTGCAACAACTACAATGGGCTGAAGAAGAAAAAAAAAAGATAAAGCGTCATCTCGAGCTCTCACTGAACGTCGTGACCTCATTGCGACGGAGTGCAAAGAGGTTGAGGAAAGGATGGCGAATACTAAAAAAGAAATCAAAGATCATGAGGATTGGATAAAAACAGCTAAGAAGAATATCAAATTGTCTGAAAAATGGCTAGCTGGCAAGGATGCGAAAATGATAGAACTTGGGAGGCAAAAGGACCGTATGGAAGATAAAATACGAATTAGGGACGACTACATAACAATGGAGAAAGAAAAGTATCCATTGCAATTCCCTTAAGTTAATTACTGTTGTTGTACGTGTGCAATTCCCTTAAGTTAATTACTGTTGTTGTACGTTTGCTATATGTTTCTGGTTTGTTGAATGTATTATCTTCGATTTTTAGTTAGTATTCTAAAACAAAACATAAATTAATATCCTCTAAAACAAAACATAAATTGATAATCATAATATTATCAATCATCTTTAAAATAAACAAACCATTTCAAAGTACACAAATTAATATCCTCTAAAACAAAACATAATTAATAATAAATACACCATCAATCATTCAAATCAAACGTTGAACAATAGTCTTATCTTTGCGTCCCACTCGTCCAGTGCGTCTCTTGTGTCCCGTGCGTCTCTACCGTCTCCTGAGTCATTTGTGTCCCTTTCCCTTTCCCTTTTGTGTTACTACATGACGGCGCACTATTTGTTCTAGCCTTTTTTGGTTTCATTGGGACCAATGTCGGACAAGTCGCTGCATTATGTGTTGTACTATCACATCTACTACACCTTCTTACTATAGGTTCCTCACCTTGTGACGGGATACGATTTCTATTTCTTGGTCTACCAGCTTGACGTGTATCCATTATCGGGGGTTTAACAACCATCATCTCAGAAGGAATCTCCCAATCACACGGTTCTGGAAGGGGGTAAACCGGCCCCTCATACGTACTCCGGTACGTTTCCATTTTGTAAGCATCTATAGCCAAATGTACGAAGTTAGTTTTTTTCAAGTGCTTTAAGACCATTATGACATGACCACAAGGCAACCCAGTTCCTTCCCAATATTTGCATGTACAAGTCTCTTGCCTCAGATCAACTATGCCACCATGTTTGAAATCATGCACTTGATATATTGCATCTGAAACACCAGAAATGGACCATCCTGTCGTACGCTCTTCATTTTTACTAACTACTTTTTCAGCCCACTCGGTTAGCACTGTTGAACCTTTCCCTGTAAAGAATATATTTTTACAGGAAATTATTATTAGAGATAAGTAAAGTCTAAATTAATTTCATACCTCCATCGATGCGACGCTTGTTACACCATTCCTGAGAAAGACGACGGAAGAACTCAAGAAGGGGTATTATAGGCATCTTCCTTGCATCTACAGATAAAACGTTCATGGACTCTGTACTGTTGGAGGTCATGTAATCGTACCGTTTCGACGGGGAATATGCTCTAGTCCATTTAGCACGCAGAATTTCACTTAGATACGCCGCTACTTGCGGCCTAGTAGAACTAAATCTAGACCACAATTCTTCAAAAACATTTCTTTTGTAAGCTTTCACAAGCCTCCAAAACAACACTTTTGTTTTGTCATTTTTCCCAAACTTGTGTACTATGTTTCCTAGTAGATGAAAAGCACACACGCCATGATGAGCTTGAGGGAAAACATTTTCAATACTAACCCGAATTGCATCGGCCCGATCAGTTACAAAAGTCAATTCTTGACAATCACCAACACATTCATACAACTTTTCAAGAAACCATGTCCAAGTAAGACCACTCTCTTTTTTGCATATTCCGTGCGCAAGGGGCACTATCTGGTTGTTCCCATCCATAGCTACTGCATGCAATATGGTTCCCTTAAAATCACCCTTCAAATGCGTGTTGGAAATTTAGTATAAATATTTATATTTTTACTAACTTTGGACATATATAAATATTACATATGTTGTATATATAACGAACTCTAAGTGGGTTTGTGTTCTCCTCCATGAGGACTTCGAAACGATTTATTATATGTCCAAAATAGAGTATAAGTGAATGAGATATCGATACTCAAAGATGGGTATTTGAGAATAAGTTTAGCAAAAGAGAGGAATGTGGGAATGAGTCTCACATTGGTAGAGAGACCAAACTCAACAAGGTTTATAAGCTTCATTGCATGGAAGGCTTACAAGCTTGTGTCTATGGTTATGCTACAATTCCTACCCGCGCGCAGGGGGGGGTGCAAATCTTGGTCCCGTAGACCAAAAACACCGAACTCGTGCATGGGCACGACCTGCGGACACGAATGCAGCTCCGAAAACTCGGGCGCGCGCTAAACTTGACAGTTTTGGTCCCTATTTTTGAATTTTGTAACGGATGCATTAATTGCGTAATTAATGACATTTATTGCCATTAAACGCTCAATCAATTAGTGATTTGTTTCCGTTTCAAGATTCCACTATAAAAGAAGACCTTGGCCGTCTCATTCAAACACACGGATGAAAATACTCTTCTTCTTCCTCCTTCTCTGTGCTCCTGCTTCCGGCGATTCTTTCAGGCAAGTCGTCATATCCGGCAGTACACAATACTGCTAAGGTTGTTGTACCCTGGGAACAGACGGCAAATCTGTTTAAGGGAATCGAGTCCAACTCGAGCCTCAGCCACATCGTTTGCTGCTAATCTTTTCATTACAGGAACCATTCTTAAGAGGAAAATGAAGACCCTATACTAACAATGCGCCCCATCCATAATTATAACTTTACGACAAAAACGTTTGAACGCTCGTATCTGCAATATATTAAAATGGAACACATAAACACTCTACAATTTCTTACAAATAATTATATATTAAATAACAAGTTTTTGTATTTACCGTGCTCCCAATGGCATAAAAACAACACTCGAAACAATCTTCAGAATCTGTTTGTATATATGCCACTGTACCGGGATTATGGCTCTTCAAATTATGAAAATAAATAGGAAGTTTGGAAAAACATTATTCAGAGGATCCCAACAACAATTCCATAGCATATTGTTTTGCACGCCAAGCTTGTTTGTAATTTACATTAATTTCCAACAAAGCATTCAAATCCCTTGATATTTCATTAGGCCTCCAAACCTTGGAACGAGTTTTTCCCATAATCTCATGCAATATAGTACCCATGACTTTTTTATTAGCATGCTTATGATTAGGGTGTATCTGTAATGACGAACATGTGTGCACGTTGTTGAAACTCCTGATTTCAAATTCATCAGTGGGAACAATGCGTTTTGCATATAAACGCCAACTACAGTTCTCAATTTCACAATATACCTCATAACGATTTTTGTTAGAATGTTTGGTCTTAAACTGAAACTTTTCTCTGGTAGCTTTAAGACTCAAAGCAAATATTAGTTGTTGTTTGTTATCATACGTTTGACGAACAAACATATCATCATTTGGACC